AAATGTGCAGACTGTTATTTACTTTGTTTCCCCCCACTTAACAATGTACCTTGAAGATCTGTCCATATTTGTACACAGAGATTTCCCTCATTTTCTCATTCATTTTTTCTTTCTCTCTTGCAGCTCCAGCAAGTCCTTTGTAGGAGTAGGTCTTTATTTAGTTACACTATTTTGCATTTCAAATAATGCTGCAGTGAATAACCTTCTGGATATGTCACTTCACACCTATGAATAATGCTACATCTATAAGGTAAGGTTGCTGGGTCAAAAGGTATGTCTCTGTAATTTTGATAGACTGCCACACTGGCAGTCATAAGGCTGTCCGCGTTCACTCTTCCATCAGCAATATATGAGTGTGTCTGTTTCCTCATAGCCTTGCCAAAGTATAATCTCAAACTGTGAGATTTTTGTCAATCTGAAAGATAAATAACGGTATCTTGGTGTATTTTTTAGTATGTTCTTCTCTTATTATGAGTGAGGTTTGATCCATTTATATTTTCTTATTTCTAATTTACATACTTTTTTGTAAGGCATCCTATTGTTATGTATATGCTTATATCGTGTCCCGTGGAAGGGCAGGTTAGTTGGGTAGGGCATGGAGTCCTGCAAAGGGGCTGGAGTTAGAGTTTAAGACCTGAGTGGATAAACTGGCTTTGTGAAGAGGAAGATGGTTCTCTGCAGGCTTAGATCCTTTGATACTAGATAGCATCTCAGCCAGGTATTGCTCATATTACAGCAATTAGTTATAAGGCAAAGCAGTGTGGCCAGCAAACTACCATCACTGTAAACATAGTTCAAAATTTGTTTTATTTCAACAGTGGGCCAGTGGCACTGTGTTAGTATTAATGCCCTATTCTACACTAATATTAAGAAATAGAAGAAAGCATCAATAAATCAATTGTACTCACCATGGAAAAGAATCATCCGAATAGTGAGAAATTTGAATTATATTTTTGAAAAAGAAATGCACATTTTTGTTGCTTTGAAGTACTTTCAGAAACTTCCTAACTTAAGAACATTTGTTAATTATTATATAATTTTATGTTAATGATTGCCTTTGAGGAACAGGGAAAACATTTTGTTCTCTAATTACTTAAACAAGTTCTTTTCATTAATTTTACAGAGTAACTTAGCAAATATTTTATTTAGAGATAAAGAATAAGTAAAATAAACATCAACCCAACTGTCTTCCAATTAAACATAAATTCTGAATTATGGGATTAAATTAGGGAGGGTTGTCCATTCTCTTTTTCTCCCTAAAATGGGGTTTATATTTGACTATCAAACTATGGAGTATGAATAAATTTTACACGTTTATTCACTATTAAGACTAGGACTTCCCACACTAGCCAAGAACTCATTTTATCTCAATCATTTCACAAATCAAAGTCTCCAATTTCAATCTTACCATCCTATTCAGAAGAGGATAAAAGTCTTCTATACTAAGGTAGCGTCTGTATGTAGTGGAAACACTTTGATTTGTTATGTCATTCTGCCATTCTGTAGGCATGGCAATAAACAACTTTTGAAAAAAAAACAAATAGAGATTATGGTTTGGGAATCAGCTTTAATATATCATTCCCTGCCCCCCCCATTCCCCAATTTACTTAAAGAAAATATTTTAGCAAAACTGACTGTATGAAAGAAGTCGACATTTATATTACACTCAGGGACAGAGACTGGGAGATCAGATGGGTGTTGACTGCCTAGAGGTGAAGGAGACAGTACTTGTCAGCCAATGCTGAGATAAAGGGCTCAAAGAACCTTTAATCTTATCTACAATGTTTGATTTTTTTACAAGAAGAATGCACTCATGTATTACTGCTTATGTTAAATTAAAACTATAATCAAAAGAGATAAAAGACTCATATTCAATTTCCCAATATTAATAATAATATAATAATATGTTGGGGCTGGAGTTCCTGGGTGGTGCAAATGGTTAATGCACTTGGCTGCTAACCCAGTGGTTGGAGGTGCAAATCTACCCAGAGACACTCTGGAATAAAGGTCTGGTGATCTATGTCTGAAAAATCAGGCACTGAAAACCCTAAGGAGCACAATTCTACTCTGACACACATGAGATTGTCATGAGTCAGAGTCGGCTTGACGGCAACTGGTTATGTTGGGGCTGGCTTCCTGTATTCTTCAGGCTGCATACTATTACAATTGGGTAACATTTTCCCTGGCTTAGAGTAGGTAGACAATAAATATCTGTTAAATGAATGAACTAAGAGGTATTATGCAGAGTGGTCAATTGCATGAGCTATGAAGTCAGCCTACCAAGATAAATCCTGATGCTTCTTTTCTTATTTTGGGAAGGTCCTTAACGTCTCTAATCATCAGTCCCTGAAACTGTAAAATGAGACTAAGAATAGTACCAATCTCAAGCAGCGGTGAGGGAATTGCCTGAACAAATGCAATAAAGCTCCTAGCATAATGTTTGGCACATACTACCCTTAATATTGCCTATTCCAGATCTAACCATGTTGGGAGGCTTCTAATGCCATTTACCATATTTCATTAATTCTAAGATGTGCACTTTTTCACACTTAATATCTCTGAAATATTGATGTGTCTTAAAATGGACAAGTTGATATTAAATTGGCAGTGTTTTTTCTTTCTTGTGGCTCATAAAGTAATGGTGCAGCTTATAGTTGAAGGCATCCTAGATTTGATGAAATATGGTATTCTAGGTCTTGCACTAGAGCTGTCCCACATCCACAGCACCAGGTAGCTCCAAGTCAGTGTGCATAGGAAGAAAGATAGTAGCCAAAACATTTATATAAATATAAACCCAATATTGTCCTATAGTCTCCTCTGGTGTTCCATTTATACTTGATTCAAGAAGCTGGACTATATGAAGAACAGAGCATCAGGACTGCAGGAAGACTCATTAACAACCTGTGTTATGCAGATGACACAACCTTGCTTGCTGAAAGTGAAGAGGACTTGAAGCACTTACTGATGAAGATCAAAGATCACAGCCTTCAGTATGGATTACACCTCAACATAAAGAAAACAAAAATCCTCACAACTGGACCAATAAGCAACATCATGATAAAAAAGATTGAAGTTGTCAAGGATTTCATTTTACTTGGATCCACAATCAACACCCATGGAAGCAGCAGTCAATAAATCAAAAGACACATTGCATTGGGGAAATCTGCTGCAAAAGACCTCTTTAAAGTGTTGAAAAGCAAAGATATCTATCACCTTAAAGACTAAGGTGCATCTGACCCAAGCCATGGTATTTTCAACTGCATCATATGCATGCGAAAGCTAGACAATGAATAAGGAAGACAAAAGAAGAATTGACACCTTTGAATTGTGGTGTTGGCAAAGAATACTGAATATACCATGGACTGCCAAAAGAAGGAACACATCTGTCTTGGAAGAAATAAACCAGAATGCTCCTTAGAAGCAAGGATTGAGAGACTATGTCTTACATACTTTGGACATGTTGTCAGGAAGGATCAGTCCCTGGAGGACAACATGCTTGGTAAAATACAGGGTCAGCGAAAAAGAGGAAGACCCTCAATGAGATGGATTGACACAGTGGCTGCAACAATGGGCTCAAGCATAACTGACGGTAAGGATGGCGCAGGACTGGGCAGTGTTTTGTTCTGTAGTACACAGGGTCGCTATGAGTCAGAACTGCCTCGACAGCACCTAACAACAACAACAATACATTATATATAGACTCTGGATATAATATAGTCAAACTACAACAATTATTTAAAAACTTCTAACAATTTTAACAACAAAATTCTAACAAGAAACTCTAAATTCTAAGCATTCTAAAGAATTCTAACAAAAATTCTGACAAGAATTCTAGAATTCTAACAAAAATTCTAACAATTCAGTGTCAAATTTCATCCATTACTTTATTTTTTGGAGTTCTTGGTTAATTTCTTTATCTGTTCTATGCCAACTAAGGGGGAAAATATGCATATCTTGGAGAAACGCAAATGGGATTATATATATATATATATATATAAAATATTCTATAAGATCAGTTCCCACAGGCAAAGAGCTAAATCCCCCATAAGTATTAGTTATCTGATAAGTTTCACCAAAGAACGGGAGCGCTTGAAAATCTAATCCAACATTTAACTCCTTCAGAATTGGTCCATTTATTTGAGAATCCTTTATTTTTACCTGTGGTTCCAGAGGTATAAATGTATAAGGCAGGAGTGGAAAAAGTGACTTCAGATCTCCAAGACTCTGGGATGGGTTCAGCTGATACTTCACCCACTTTGTCCAGGAAAGAGTCAATCCCATCCGTGTTAGAAGTTCTGCTCACATAATAGATGGACACGTCATCTTTTTTCAGACTTGGCAGCACCTCTTCAACAGCTGCTTGTAGTTCTTAATTTAATAAGAAAAAAAATACCCAAACAAACTAAATTAGTCCTTTAGAGTTCCATTAGTACAACAAACTTCATGGTAATTTTGCTTTCAGCATAGTTTTTGCTAAAATGTGTGGATGTGACAAGTGATGCTTATGAGGCCTTTTTAAAATGGGATTTGCTACATTTGAAAAATATCGCAAGATTCCAATATTTGAGAGAACATTGGGTTTTGATGGTTTCATAAACACAGCAGATGGTTGAAACCTGTACTTCTTGTCGCTAGTGCAAACAGATATATGGATACAAACCAAGAAATATAAGTACATAACATATACATAGCTGGTACACACCTCAAAGATCTACAGAATGTAGCTATTCCTAACATGTGCCCCATAGGACCAGCAATGAAAAGAAAATAAAATTTTTAAGGAAAGAACAAAGAAATGAAAGAAGAAGGGAGACATGATAATGATAGAAGCCAACTTTATATAATGAATGTTTTTTAACACATCAGTAAGAAATAGTTCCACTAAGAAGTTTCAGCTGATCTCAAATATAAGCTCTAAACTTCATAAACACATTCTGTGGTCTCAGGGAAAAGAAGAGACTGACTAATTTAAAGCAGTGTTTTGCAAACTGTGGGTCACAATACATTAGTGGATTGTTAAAGTCATTTAAAATAGCCAGTATTTAAAAAACTAAAACCGATTCTAATAGAAATTTTCACAGCACATCACACACAGTAAGAGATAAGTCTTGTTTTGTAAAACTTCTGTTTCAGTGATGTGGGTACTAGGTCAACCCAAATGCATTTCTTACTGTAGGCCAAAGGTCAAAAATTTTAAAGGCACTGACTTACATCATTTAATATGCAAACCAAGTGTAATGTTTGCATGACATTTGTATGTACTTATACCATAAAATGAGAATAATTTTTTTGTTCGTTTGTTTAAGCATGTGTCAGGTATTTATTCCTAATCTAGCCAACCATGACTGAGGGTGGGAGAGGTGAGAAGTGGTGGGCTTGGGAGGGGCACAGTTACATGGTATACAGGGCTGACCCTCAGAAGCTGAGGGTATGACAAGTTCTCTAAAAGGTATTAGAGAAAGATCAGGCAATCAGTCATGTCTCATATACGTGGCATGCTTTGTCATACTGCTTTTTGAGTTGATTCCTTTTCAGCAAAATGCTTCTGTCAAGGATTTTCACATGGGCTTAGATTACCCAGCCCACTTTCTGCTAACATGAGGAAGAACTATGTTATTTAGAGGACAGAGAATGGAAAAATGTTCTTTTTCCTTTTGTGCAGTAAATGGATAACTGAGATAAGACTGTTTTTAAGCGTACTGGTGTTGAATTGTAATAACTGAAGTGAATATACTTACTCTTAATAGGAAGGTGACTCAATATCCCAGGGAATTACCTTGGGGATGCTATACCTGATTTATCTTATATGCTTTGTTTTTCAGATGTTTGTGTATGATGTCTCTATCAAGAGAAGAAATATCATCTGGATAGATGCTTTAAAAAAAATTAAAACATATTAACCAAAGGACTCATGCACATGGTAAAAAAGAAATCAAAAGTACAGATTTATAATATAAATCAACAGATCCTTACCCCATCCCTCCTCACAGCTAAACCTGCAACCTGGAGGCAACCATTTTCAAATCTTTTAGCTGTTTCTTTTGACAACCACCTCTCTATTAACAAATCATGTGCTTTTCCTGTGGTGGTGTTGATGAAGTATAAACTTGTTGACCTATAAAATTTGATTCCCACCCCCGTTTTATACCTGTCTACTTCCAACTTCACTTTACTTTTGCATTTTCTGGGCTAATAGTATTTATATCTGTTCTGAGACTATAATTCTGTCTTCCCAGCTTTGTCTGCAGACTGGCTTAAGAAACAGAAAACCAACAATCAGGATTGGCAGTATTGTGGTTATGTTAAGTATTGTTCACAGCAGAACCAAATAACACACTATGATCATATTTACTTTCTTAAACAGTACCCCCCACCACACCTGAGCCCTGGTGGCACAGTGGTTGAGAGCTTGGCTGCTAACCAAAAGGTGGGCAGTTCAAATTCACCAGCCACTGCATGGAAACCTTATGGGGCAGTTCTACTCTGTCCTATACGGTTGCCATGAGTTGGAATCGAATCGACAACAGTAGGTTTTGGTTTTTGGTGGAGTTATGAGTTGGCTATCTTTCTTTAATGTACTATTTGCCTCAATTCTTTTTTCAACCCTTATTATATCAGGTTCTTTTTTTTTCCTCCTCCACTCTTCTATTCTTAACTAGTTGCTCTCCAGCCCTCTTGCACTTCTGAAAGTTTATCAAAAAAATATTACTGCTTGTCTTAGGCTGGGTTCTCTAAAGAAGCAAAACCAGTGAAGCACCTCTCTCTCTATATATATATGTATGTATACAGAGAGATTTTTTATCAAGGAAATGGCTTATATGGTTGTAGAGGCTGGAAAGTTCCAAGTCTGTGAGTCAGGCTGGAGGCTCCTCCTGACTCACGTAGCTACAGGGGCCAGCAAACCCAAGATCCAGACAGCAGAGGTTGATGAATCCCAAGATTTTCAGGCAAGCTGCTAGCTCAAGACCCAAGAATCAGAGGTCAGAAAAACAGGAGCCAGTTGCAGGATCCAAAGCAAGCAAAAGCCCACGAGGCTTGCCAGAAAGTCCAGCTAAATTGGATGCAGGCCACACCCCCATGGAAACACCCTTTCAACCTACTGGCTACTCATAGCAGATCCCATCATGAAGGTGAACACATTATATCAGATCTCATCATGGAAGAGGTTACATATTTATACAAATGCCAAACTACATCGTAACTGCCAAACCACTGAGAATCATGGCCCAGTCAAGTTGACACACAATCTTAATGATCACGGTCCACCCCTTGTCAACTTGGCACCTGTACACATCTTCTTAAACCATACGTAATCTCTGAATAAAGACAATTATGAAGTCATACTTGCACCTAACATGATACAACACACGTTCAACTGAAAATGCACTAGCCCTGTTTACATCTTATATAAGTGAAGAAAACAAAAATATTTGATGCACACATACAAGGAAGAAATACTTATAACAGTTATAGTCCTCGTTTCTGCAACTGGTCTTGTGGTCATAACTGGTATTTAGAACTACATTCTTCCACCACCTATTCTGTATTCCGTTTAGCCTCAGCAAGCACCTCAGTTGGTTGTCGTTCATCGCCTGGTGGGGTGACCCAAATTTCATTCCTGAAGGGTCTGAGCCATTAGTACTCATGTCAGAATTGTGTTGCTATAGTATTCCATTGACTTTAATCACAGGGCATGGTAGTACTGAGATGCCCTAAGGGATCTCCTGCGTTTCAGATATATACTTCTTTACCTCCATTATGTAATACCAATCTGGTTTCCTCTTGGTAATCAGGATCAATCACACCAGCCAGTATGGTAACTCCCTTCTTTGCCTGTTGATCCAGAGGCACAAGGAGCCCAAAGTGGCCAGGTAGCATTCTTAACTTCCAGTTTAGTGGAATCAGTGATGTGTCTCCAGGTGGGAGCATTCCTCCCTTTGGAACTAAGACCTCTAGACCCACATAGCATAGGGTCATGGGGACAGGAAGCAGAAATTTTGTTAGTGGGTCACTAGGGGTAATAGTGGGGCCACTCCCATTTCCACCCCTTGATCCCTGGACCCATGAATCCTGGCTATGGGAGAAACAGCAGCATATACTAGACACTGGTGAGAGCATATACAGCCCTCCTGGAGAACATTTTCCCAACTCTACAAGGTATTGCCACCTGGCTGGTGCCATAATTGTGTCTTTAGAGGGCCATTCCACCGTTCTATCAAGCCAGTTGCTTCAGGATGATGGGGAACATGGTAAGACCAGTGAATCCTATGAGCATGGGCCCATTGTTGCACTTCATTTGCTGTGAAGTGAGTCCTGTGATCCGAGGCGATGATGTGTGGGATATAAGGCATTCTGTAAGTCCATGGATGGTAGTTTTGGCAGAAGTATTTCATTCAGGGAAGGCAAATTCACATCCAGAGTGTCTATTCCAGTGAGAACAAAACACTGCCCTTTCCATGATGGAAGCGGTCCAGTGTAATCAACCTGCCACCAGGTTGCTTGGCTGATCACCTTAAAGAATGGTGCCACATCACTCAGTAATGGTCTCTGATGCTGGCAGATTGGGCACTCCACAGTGGCTGTAGCCAAGTCGGCGTTGGTGAGTGGAAGTCTATGTTGCTGAGCCCATGCATAACCTCCATCCCAGTCACCATGGCCACTTTGTTCATGAGCCCATTGGGCAATGACTGGAGTGACTGGGAAAAGAGGATGACTGATTTCCACAGAACACGTCATTCTATCCTCCTGATTGTTAAAATCCTCCTCTGCTGAGGTCACCCTTTGGTGAGCATTCACACGAGACACAAACATCTTCACTTCTTTGGCCCATTCATGGAGGTCTATGCACATACCTCCTCCCCATACCTCCTTGTCTCTAATTTTCCAATTATGTTCCTTCCAAGTCTCTGACCATCTAGCCAAACCACTGGCCACAACCTATAAATCAGCATACAATTGCACATCTAGCCATTTCTCCTTCCAAGCAAAATGAACAATCAGGTGCACTGCTTGGACTTCTGCCCGTTGGGAGGACTTTCCTTCACCACTGTCCTTCAGGGAGTTCCCAGAAAGGGGCTGTAGTGCTGCTGCTGTCCACTTTCGAGTGGCACCTGCATATTGCGCAGAACCATCTATAACCAGGCACGAGTTCTGTCTTCCTCAGTCAACTGATCATAAGGAATACCCCATGAGGCACTAGGTGAAGACTGGGAGATGGAAGGTAATGTGACAGGCGTGGAGACCATGGGCATTTGGGCCATTTCCTCATGCAACTTACTAGTGCCTTCAGGTCCTGCACAACCCTGATCTTATATACACCACTTTCATTTAATGATGGAGTGCTGCTGGGCACGTTCAACTTTATGGCT